ATGCTGCGTATGATAATCCATCAAAATTTCTAATTTTGTAATTATTCCTCCAGCAAATTTTATGTAGGAGGAAAACTTTTCATTTAAGTTGATATTATAAAGAAATGCAGATAATATTTCCATACTTTGACTTCTTTGCTGCCTTCTTCAGATAAAAAAAGTTAACTCTCTGGTTTTTAATCTATGTATATGTAAGTTGCATATTTGGGTATGGGCGGTTGTATAATAGAGAATTTTTTTTTCTAAATTGTTATGTTGAATTAAAGCTTCACAAACCAAAAGCCAAAACACACCGAGTCAAGCTGGAAAAACTTCCAAGAAGGCTTTTATAATGAATGCTCCAATGTCTGGGTTGTAGTATGATGAGTCAGTGGAGACGGAAGGAGCAGAATGAGATGTTTGGCAAAGCTAGAGCTGAGGGAGCAGGAAGACGACGGACTGATGTCTGAGGCTTGGCTAATGTGGAGTGAAACCAGAGTGAAAGCAGGTAGGCAGGTGGAAGTTACAGTAGTGGAACTGGAATGGGAACGTAGAGCTAGGCTGGCAGGTGATATCATTAAAAAACCTAAAAGCAAGAAAGCAGAATTAGACAGAATTAGATGCACATACACACCCACACACACATGCACAAAACTGACTGAACTGAGTATCTCTTTTAGCCTACAGTAGTTGGCAGAACAATCTGGTGGGAATGACTGTAGAGCCATGATAGATCTCCTGTGGGGTGGTGATTAATGGGCTACAGGTGTGTATGCTGATCGAAGCAAAGCAAGAAATGCAGGAAACTAAGAAGCCACACCTCCATGCAGAAACACACTTTTTTTTTAAATTCCTCAGTTTGTACATTCTTAATATCTTTCCTCAGTTCTTCTCTTCATATCTTTTTCCTCTTAGACCAGCAGGAGAGGCAGAGGGAGAGACATGATGGAAAAGGAGTTCAGGGTAGGAGTATAATGTAATATTCTTGCTTCTGTGGTGTGGTAAGTTTATCTATAATAATAATAATAATAATAATACATATACATATACATATACATATATACATACATACTTTCATGCATTTGATGTGAAATGAAGACAAACAAGGGCTAACAATAAAGGAAATCTATAAAGATTAGTTTTCAACAGCCACTTGAAACAAAGCACTAATTCTGCCAGCTTTACAGGCTGAATGAGGCTCTTCCAAAGTTCCAAAGAGCTACAATCTTAAAAGCATTGTTGCCTCTGGATTTCAAATCCAGATAAGATGATTGGAAAGGTTCACCATTTGAATAAGGTCTCAGCAGCCCTGACATATATAATATAGGTGCCTGACCATATGTAATTAGCTTATGTGGTTAGTGTCATGGTCTACGGTGGGTGGCTGGAGTTTCCATTAGGCTCCTGAACTGACCTGGGATCCGCCCCTGGGCAGGGCCAACTCCAGCTCCTGCACACCTGGAGCCTATTGCAGGCAATCAAGCCAGGGGGATTTAAACCACACATCGATGTTCACCCACTGCCAGTTCGTCATCAACCCATGTTGGTAACAGGTCTTGTGCTTCAAATTCTCGCTGTGATTTATCTTACTAACAAAGACTCTTTTGTACTACAGTTGCTGTACCCACCCTGGCTCACACTCCACCTCCGGACTCGGGATACCTAGTGATCATTCTGGAAATCCCTCTGTGCCTCACCTGCCTGCCCTCCTGCCATCACACTCCATCTGGAGCCCCGGATCTCAGGTCAGCCTTTCCACGCCACTCAGCCTCCCCTGGATCTTCATCACCCCCCTCTCAAACACTCCAGGTCCCTAACTGCAAGTAAGAATTGCTGCTCTTATACTGGCCACTTCTGAGCTGCCTTCACTACCTGCCTAACTCCTATATCCTCTTCCCTCAGTGTGACTGTTCCCCACTCAGCTCCGTTCCGCTTCTCAGGCCTCGTTCCCTCGCCCTAGCCACGTTCCCCTGGGCACGCCACACCAAGACTCCACGTCTCGTCATTTTCTGTCTTTGCCACGTTTCCTTTTTTTCCCCTTTGCACTTAACCGTAATAAACTGTTAAATCATCTACTGTCTCCGCTCTGGGTTTCTGCACCTGAGTCCTATTCAGTACCGGCCATCCGTCGCCGTGACAGTTAGGCTTAACACAAATGTACAGCTGTGTATCATCAGCATAGTAATGATAGGATTGCTATGCTATGGCTTAAGTTGTTACTTAGATTACATTTGGTCCAAGGACTGAACCTCGGTGGACCCCGAGGGAAGGAGGAGCAGATTTAGATATAGCTATTAATATGAATTCAGAATTGTCTGTCAGATATGATGAAACCCATGTGAGAGTAGTGCCAGAGATGTGACACATGTAAATAATTTGTCAGTTACAATGTCATGACCATTGGTGCCAAAGGCTGTAGAGAAGCAAAACTAAAATTAAATATTATAATTGAATAGGAAAATCATTGGTAATGTTTTGATGCATGCTCAATCATCCAGGTAAGTAAATCTCCAAAGGTTGATTCTGTTCATCTGGACGTAGCGTTTTCAGTGGGGAGAAACGTTTCATCACTCATCCGAGTGACTTCTTCACTCTCAGCTGACTGCAGGTTTCCCCAATCTTATAAACAGTGCATTTGCATAATGACTGAAAATAGCACTGCTGGAGGAACAATGGGCTGGGAGGTCAATTCCTTCATCATAATTATACAAATTCTCATGACCGTTGATCAACAACCACTGATCAAAGGCCACTTATCAATGGCCATGTATACCATTCACAGAGAGTTTGGGAATGGCTGCAATCACAGCATTGTAAGATGGTGACAGATGTACCCTTAGGCCCCCTCCTCGATTCAGAGATGGTCTTTCCCTTTTCACGTAAATGACCTCCTTGACTCTGCGCTCAAACCAGCATTCCTCCCTGTTGAGGATGTGCACATCCTCATCACTGAAAGAGTGTCCACTGGCCTGTAGGTGTAAATAGACTGCAGAGTCCTGGCCTGACGAGGTAGCTCTTCTGTGTTGTGCCATCCGCTTCGCCACAGGTTGTTTGGTTTCCCCGATGTATAAATCCTGGCAATCCTCCTGCACTTAACAGTGTTAAGTGTCTGTTTGTTTTGGGAGACCCGATCCTAGGGGTGGACAAATTTTTGGCGCAGCGTGTTTTGGGGTTTAAAAGCCACAGAGACACAGTGTTTAGAAAAAATGCGTGTCAGCTGTTCTGATACTCCTGACACACACGGGATCACAGGTTTTTGCTTAGGAACAGAATCAAGCTTTGGAGATGTAATGTTTAAAAAATATGGCATCATCTGTCAGTTGTTTTGTTAGCTCAATCCCTGCTGTATTTGTTTTGTTTTTTGTTTTTTTTAGATGCCATATTAAGGAAACAATAGTCATTACACTAAAACATGCTGGGTATATTATTAAATTAAATTCACATCATAGCAGAATGTAATAAGATACATATACTGTATTTTTAAATCACACTGGTATACACATGGACAGTGAAAGGCAGAAAGTTCCTTTTCAGCCATGCAGCTGATCATCTTGAAAAACTGAAACTTGCTCATAGAAAGGAACATCTAGGTAGAGTTCTCCTCTTGCCATGGTTTGTATATTCCAACAGTGTTTCACACCTCTCCTTGATTATAGCTCCTTCAGAATGTTTCCTATCTCCTTTCTTCTCTCTCCTCCAGATGCAGTTTAAGAATCCTTCAACCTGGCATAACTGAGATTGATTTCCGGGTCACAGACAGGAGTAGTACGACGGCTGAGAGGAGAGACAAAAAACAGAGAAAAAACAAAAGCCCACAGAGGGGGGCTACAAGACAGACATTGAATTTACAGGGAGAAAAAGAGTTCAGTGAGAAAACAAAGGGGGGGAAGTGAGAGGTACAGGGCTAAAAATGAAATCCGATTTCTAGTGTCAAATTCTGCATCACTCCAAACTGTAAAGCTCAAATATACAGTTAAATTAGCAATAAAGCACAAATCATTATTTGAGTATATACTCAAGGTAGAGATTCTGTTTAATTATTCTTATACAATTTGTTTACCTAAGGGGTAATTGTTTCAACCTGCAGTATTTTCCAATAATGTGGCTCTAGTGGCTCTGTGAATCTTCAACTGGGAAAAGCTATCAAGCTGGATATTTCAGGAGACTACATTCTGTGTTTACCTTTAGTCAGACACAAAAGCAAATGTTTAAAATGGAAAATCAGAGAGCTGTCACTACTTGCCCAGCTGCTGATACTGTTTTGTCTGAGTCATAGTTTCTTTCTCTCACTAGTATGAGCTATAGAGCCATAGTGGGCGCGTGGATGGAAAACAGCCATGTTGAAATTATCCTTCAAAGTCACTCAGTGACTCGTTTGGGATGTTTGAGCTTCACTGTGCAGAATGATGTACTGCAGAGTTTGACACTCAAATGCTCTTTTTACATCCGTCGGCTGAAAGTGGAAAGTTTCTCCTAAGTTCACCTAAAATGTGACTTTTGGTGAACTTTTAATGCCTGAAGGAGTTCAGCTTGACTGATGAATGCTTGCATATTCATAGGTTCTGAATTTTTTAGTCAGGTGGAGGTGTAAATGCCATTTTAAAAATTTCTAACTAGCTATGTGAAGATTTTTAATGTAAAAATATCCGACAAAAATGACCATTTTAAGTGCATTGGGTGTTCTTATACAGGTAATCCTCAGTAGCTTCTTGGGGGAAATGTTTTGGGAATTCTTCCAACAAGTGGGTCTAATCTTATCTCACGAATAAAAAAGATAACATAAAATAACAATAAATAATTTATCTATCAATCCTTCAGTAAAATCTCTTGCAATTTTTTTGGACATAGAATCAGCTTATCGCCCCTGCATTTTTACTTTTTAAATCTTATATCAGGCTACATGTTGCTCTGTAGTTCTGCAATCCTTGTATAGTGCAGTTGTAATCACTGTTGATTGCATGCAGTTTCTGCAGGTGTCAGTATGACTGTAGCCGGTAGGAGGGACTTGATGCTCCAACTTCTCATTTTGTGTCTCTCTGCTCTCTAGCCAGTCGTCCTGGTCCTGCTTGGAGAGAGGCGACGACGACATCAGAAGCACGGCATTAAGGGGAACACCATGCATCGTGTGCTGTCAAGACGAGTGGACGCTCACATTTTTTCGCTTTGTTGTTTTTGATTTGCGTTATTTTTGTTGCGTCTTTTCTTTCTTTCCTCCCCTCCTCCTCCTTTTCACCCAATCTCTGACGCGCAAGGACACTACAGCATCCATCCACGGCAGAAACGCTCGCATAGAGCATCCTCTGTATAGACGCACCAACCATCCTCCTCCTTCCTTCCTCCCACTCTCCTGCTCTTCTCTTTTGTCGTTCTGTTCTAACCCAGAGGACATCGGGACCTCTTCTATTTCCCCACTTTGCCCGGAGACATGGATCTATGGTTTCATTCGATCCGGATTTGCTGGTGGAGGGTTTTGTTTCTGATGAGTATTTTCCAGGACTATCTGAGCTCCATGCTGGACTGCCCGCCGACCTGCAGCTGCTCACAAACAGAGATCTTTTGCAATAAGTCCGACAACGGCAGGTTTTTCCCTTTACTCGCCCTGCAAGATACTGGGAGCAATGGGACCAGCGTTGACATAGCGGAGTTATTCAAAAACATCACCTCTATGTAAGTACATTGTACGGATTGTGCCGTGCGTTTCGGAATCATTGATTGATCCCATTCCCTGTATGTTGCTTTCTTTGCATTGATCCGACTTGTTGGCTGATATTTTTTTAATTCTTAGACTTTTTACACTTCTATTGGTCTCCTTAATGCCCAAAGATCCCCAAGCCATATTTGATAAATGGTCTTGAATGGAGGGTAAATGCGCTTGTTTTCCCTCACGTGCCCAATTAGTCAAATCACTTGCAGCTTAGCAATAAATTGCTCGGTCTTGAACCTGGGCAATGAATGTCGAATGTGTCTCTCCCCCCATCCCTAGTGTGTCCCCATAAAGTTGCTCCTCCGCAGCGGCACCGCAGGCCTACACGTCCAAATGACAGAAGGATGTTGCGGAGAACCTCACATCACCCATCCGCTTGATTTCCGTCGTCATGTACAGCAACTGTTCTGACAGATTGTGCTAAATGAAACAGAAGTAAATGGCGCAGTAAGGTCAACCAGTTACATTTTGAGCCCGCATCCTCTGAGAACGACGCGACCTGACAAACTTTATTGTGTCCAGATTATGCGGAGCGGATTGGGATGTGAAAACGTCACTTGTGGCTTTTTCTCTCCTTTCCACAGAGATGGACATGCAGAAATATTGGTTTCATAAAGGCTTTGCTCAAAACAGAGGCGCTATGTATGATGACGGCAGACTACCCCCCTCCTCCTCCTCCCTCTCCTCTCCACCACCACCCACCCACACACCCCCAGAAGTACATTCTCATTCTGCATCCTACACCCCCTCGCTCTCCTCTCTCTCCCTCTTTCTCTCTCGCTCTCTTTCCCTGGCATCGATCCTCCCTGCTAACATCAAAGCTTTCTTTCTTGAAAAGTCAGGGGAGGAAGAAAAAAAAGCCGAGCTCGGGCCTTAAATAAGACCTCTGGTGTCGATGAAGCTGATTTGCATATAAAGTAAACATCTCCCGTTAACGCACTGGAATTCCCCGCACGGTTTCCTCCGCGTCGTCTTACGCCACAAAGGACTTTTGCTGTCATCAGTTTTGGTATCCCGTTTACCCTTTATCCGTCTGAGGCAGACAACTTATTTTGTGACACGGTTCATCGCTTCCCCGTGCCGCTAGAGGGTAGCCTGGTACCCTCTATAATCTGGGAATCAAGCGCTGTCTTTACAACACAGGAGTCATTTACGTGACTGTTTTATCGGGGGTACTTTTTCTGTAAGGAATAAGCACAGGTTTAAAGCTCGGCTGTATTAAAAGGAAAGGAAGGAAGAAAGGGTCAGAGTTCACGGCGCACTAGTGATTAGTGTGACCCTCGAGTGACCCTCGTATAAAGATTTCCTTGCCGTGAAACCTGCTCGTTCACATTTATCTCTCCTCTCATCCACTGAAGTCAACAACCTCTTAGATTTCCAGTTAAAAATGCCAAATATTCAGTTTATACCAAGCACAAAGTCACGCATTGATCGCCTTTTTTGCCTTTGAGAAAACCTAATGCAACTGACCCAGGACTAATTGTGCATTTCATGGCCCCTGGCCAGCTGGCAGCTTTTTTTTTTTTTTTTTTTTTTTTTTGGCTGCTCAGTATGGATGGCAACCTCCACTAGCACCACCAGCAGCTCAGTAACAGCATATCAGCATATACTGCCCAGTGTCACATGAGCTAACACGTCTGATTTAGCTGTGCATTCACACCACGCAGCAACAATAATTAGCTATTTAATATATAGTAATTACTTTGTATTCAAAGATTGTAATCATTTATGTTTAAATGCTACAGCACAATCATTTTTAGCATCTCTACAAACATGTATTACCATAAATGATGTTCAAAGCTCAATGCTAATTTATTATCTGGCCAGAAGGTGTGACCTTAAAAAATAGTAACTGGTGCATTGTAATAAAGAGCACTCAGAGACTGGGGCCACATAAAATCCACGATCCCTTCTCTTTGCAAGTGGGGAGATACCAGAGCGTTCTCACTCCCGAGGCTGGGAGATACATGTGTTTTGATGACATGAATTCTATTTCATTCATCTCAGGAAATATTCAGAGGTGAGGGGACAATTTATGGAGATAGAAAGCTAGAGTGAGGGCTCCTAGCTGGAACTGTGGAGGGGATGGGTGGGTGATTGGCCAGCCAAAGAAAACTGCCAAGTCCAGATAATAGTTTTCCCAGTTCTCGCACATTAGAAATTCATCACAAGAGGCATCACTGCTTGAAGTGGATAAGATAAGGCCTTGCTGTTATACTTGAGGGGGAAAAATGGTTCTCTGAGAGCAGCTGAAGCATTTGACGGGTTTGTGTAAGTGTGGCTCTGAGCACAGGTGCGTATTTGTTTTCAAAATCCAATCAGCTTTTCCACCTCGAGTGATGACATTTGGTCTCATTTTGTTTTGTTTCTTCTTCTTTTTTTTTCTTTCTTTTTTTGCTGAAAGTGTGGTTTGTAAAGGAGGGGCTAAAGTGTCGGACCAATCTCTATGGTCATTACTGCGCTGTCAAACTGCTAAACGTCTCCAATGTATACTTGGAGAAAAATCACCCTTGCAACCTCCCCATCTCTTGCGTACTTAAGCTGATCCTTAAATTCAACAATGCATCCATGCAATCACTGTCATTACTGGAGTTGTTGCAAAGCGCTGAACTAAAGCCGTATTTCACGGCAGACATTTTGGCTTGTAATTGCAGGAAAAGCACAGACTTCAGTTATATTAATGATGCGTGCATTGCACTTAGAGATGATCCTGGTATTGTGCATGCTGGCTGACTAGGACAGCTTATAGGAACCTGTATTGTAAATGGATAATTAACGATGTCTTTAATTCCACGGACGCTTGTCCTGCTGTGGCACAAAATGTCTGTTGTGAAAAAAAATCTTTCAATCAGTTTGCCACTGTGAAGGTAAAAGTGTGAAAGGTCCATCTTTGATTGTGTGATAGTAATCAACCTATGATCTTGCTGCAGTTTCAATGGTAGTAGAAACGTATTCCCAGTCTTAGTTACAAACAGTTCATTAAGATATGAAAATGATATGAAAATGAAAACTGCAAAGCCCTAAAGTGCTGAAATGTGATGTCTGCTGTGCACAAGATAAAAGCACATCATCTGAAGATTTTTTTTGAAGCATCCGTTTTAACGAAACCGTTGGTATGATCTGAAATTTTACAGATAATTACCAAGTTCCCTATATCTGTTTGCAGTGTTCAAGTGTAGCATTTTACAATTTTCTACTTCACTTACTTAAACATGAGGGGACAAAGATAATGTTTTCCAGATTCTTAAAATGTAGTTTAAAGTTGAACTGCTTTTATATGGGTTTATGGCACTGTACTGTATTTTGCATGTCTTAATCCTGTACGGGTTTAGTATTTGTCCAATTCTATTTTTTATATCTCCAAACATCTTCAAAGACTTATAGCACATGTAGATTAAACAAGACGGCTCTGGTGTGTAGAAAAAAACCTACAAAAAGATTTTTTTTAAAAACCAATTTGACTCTTTCTCCTCTGTTAAAACAAAACTCTGCATGTTTTTGTATTTTTGGCTTAAAAACTGTATAAATAGAGGTACTTCATTGAAACTTCAATTGTCAGTGAATAGTGATGAGCAATTTTAAAGTCAACCACCTAATTCTGTTCTAGTTCTCCTTTATCCCATCTTTAGACACCTTCAAGTACAACCAAGACCTTTGTGTGTCCTGTGGTACCTGATACTGGGATCCTGGCAGCAAATAATTTCCCATGGGGTGAAACCCAGCAATTAAGATGTGGTTAAAATACAGTCTTTCAACTTGATAGAGTTTTACAAAAATATTCCACGAACTGTGTAGGAATTAAACATTTTTATGCACACGGCCTCATTTTCAGATGCTCAAGTATAATTGACAAACTAGCTAAATCTCGTTTCTTCCCATGAAATACTCTTCCAGGCCATTACTGTGGCCTCATTCAGTTGCTGCCTGTTGGTGGGTCTCTCTGTGTTTAGTCTGGCATGTTTGGGTTGAGATCTGGTGTGTGACTTGGTCTTTGGAGAAGATCCCATTTCTTTGCCTTTAGAAACTCTTCGAGTGCTTTTGCAGTATGCTTTGAATCATTATCCATTTGTACTGTGAAGCACTTTCCAATCAGTTTTGCAGCATTTGACTGATTCAGAGAAGAGAGGATAGCCCTGTACATTTCAGAAATCAACTGTTTTCTTTAATATGCAATAAACACTATTGACCTCCACTGCCAGGCCTCCACACTCCACTCGCTGTACTTTTCTCTTCCAATCATTCTGGTACAAGCCAATCTTGGTTGTCCAACAATTTTCTTGGACACGTTTTCCTGGTGAAGTCTAATCTGGCCTTCATGTTCTTGGGTGTAACCAGTGGTTTCATCTTTGTTGTAAGCCTTTTGTATTTCTATTCATGAAGACTGTCCTGATTGTAGACTTTGACCCTTGAGCATGTCCTTGATTTGGCTATCTCATCCACTTGAGTTATCTTATGGTCTTTTGGATTTGTTGGTTTTGCAGAGCTGGCCAGTGCAATGGAAAATGGCCTGTATTTGTATAGCGCTTTTACTAGTCCCCCCTAGGGACCCCAAAGCACTTTACACACCCAGTCATCCACCCATTCACACACACATTCACACACTGGTGGAGGCAAGCTACAGTTGCTTCTTTTTAAGAATGTACCAGATTATTGATTTGATCTCTCCTAACCTTTTTGCTATCTCTCTGGTAGGCTTCTTTTGGTTTTTCAGTAAATGATGGCTTCCTTGCCTTGTATTGACAGTTTTTTGGACCTAATATTGAGAGTTCCAGTGAAAAACGAAATGCAAGTTCAACACTCGAAATCAATTCCACATCTTTTATCTCCTTAACTATTCCTGGAATTGTAAGAGAACAGGCCACACCTGGCCTTCATGTTTTTTTTTTATTTATTCAGTTACTTATCTTAGTATCTTAACAGATCTCATTTTAAGTAGTGTAGAGGCCTGGTTATTGTCATGGTT